CATGGCCGCTATTTAATATTAACTTGAAATTTATTTCGAGATCACAATAACTGACTTTAGACTAAACTTATCTTCTCCCCAGGATTACTGCCTAGTCGGCAGTGTGGGTTAAATCTTCGCTTACAACGGATTCGGCCAGTTTTTGATTATCCGTGCAAGAGGCTGGGTGTTTCATCGGACTGTAATTTCTACAATCATATCTGGGTTATTGTAATGAGATAATGGTGGTTTCAGAGGGTCCACGTAAGGTTTGGTAGTTGAGGAGCGTGGTGCGGAGACTGAGTTTTATCTCATTTAAACCTGTTATTTCATTTAAAGTGCCAGTGTATTATCAGCAGGATTGAATCCCTGACCATTGCCAACTAGTGACGTCAACGATCAATATAGAATTATCGATATATCATGTGCGTAGCATTTAAGGATTCAGCTGAAGGATTCAGCAGAAGGGTGCATTAAAAAGAAAGCCCTTTATTTACATCACTTACAATAAAGATCACTTCATAATTGTTTTCAGTACGTATTAATTTAAATAAGTTTACTATACATAAAGTATTTTTTAATGATATCGTTGCAGTGGTGTATAAACTTTTAAAACTTGCGAACCTATAAAGATAGATAGAACTCCGACCCACACCAGGAAGGTATGCGGAGATTAAAAGTTTAATTATTGCAATAAATATTTAAACTAAACACTAAAAATACAGTAAATTTTGACAAACGACAGTGGTGGTGATCAGCTAAAAGTGAATTAGCTAAAAATTAAGGTAATGAAAAACATGATTTAAAATCAATGGCAGCTAAAAGCTCCGGTGTAAATGCGGTAAAAAAATAAATTGCATTTCAATATTCAAGGAACAAAAATCTCTATATGGTTTTTCCCACCTCGAAATGCAGGCGTCTAATTTGTTTGAAAGACACGGTATTAAATTCATTATTGACCGATGACTGGTTAATCTGACTGTGTAAAAAATTATTCACAGTCAGAAATTTCCGTTTTAAAAAGGCTTATTTATTGAATATTGACTTTTATAGCACAAAACTCAAGTATGAATGTGTAATGTTTAAATTAGAGAAAAGTAAAAGAGATCAAAATTAAATTTTGAAAAACAATCTAAAGAGAATAAAAATCATGGTTAGCCGATGACACTTCTATACCTTCTTTGTCTTGAAGTAGAATGTAGAATAAAATAAGAAATATCGAAATAAAAATCAAATGAATATATTGGACAAACAATGAGATCAAAGTTTTTTTTTAAAAACTGAAACAAAAGATTTTATTTCAGGAAAGCTTGTTATTTTTTCCACGGACTGTAGCTCTTTCATGTACTTTGTTGCAAAAAGGAAACTTTATTTTTTATATAAGGAAACTTTATTTTTCATTATTTCGAAGTTTTTTTTCCCTTTCATGCTGTCCTTTGATGTGTATTCTTACTTTTCTGTCAGGAATATTGCGTTATTGTATGCGATGAAGCATTATATTAATCTGCAATGAACAATTTTTTTCCCTTGTCCTCACAAATAAAAGTTTAAATAGTGCATGTGTTTTTTAAAACTTCATTTTTGAATAAGAATTTAAAGAAACATTGAAGTCATAAACATTAAAAACACAATACGATGCACGATTTGATTTAGTTTCTCAGTTGAGTTTGCCAATATGTGACAGATTCTCTCTAAAGTAATAATGTAAAATAAAGTAAAAAATTAAATGTAAAAAATTAAAGTTGGAATTTAAGCCGTTACTCGTAATCGGCAATCGGACAAAAATAAATTTTATTTAGGCACAAAAACGTCACCCGTGCAACTTAAATGCTAACATGTTTGTTATGACTTGATATGTCTCCATCATCCGTAACATGCTGCAGAGTTTTAGAACTTCATATGAATTCAGTTTCGAAACTTCAACACGACATAGAATAAAATCATGAAGAATTATAATGTAAAAATAACATTTTACTAGATATCTTATTATTTATTTATGTATTTCTTTAGATATTAATTTTTCTGTATTAAAAAAAATTAAAAAGCACTTATGAAGAAACTTTGAATTTCAATAATAAGATAAGTAAAAAGATTATATTAAAAGGCGTTAAATTAAAGTAACTATTGCAATTCTTTCGTATTTTTATGTTTATTGCATCTTTTAATATATTAATAATAATTCATAATTATTTACCAGCTTTCATGTCTGTAGAAGTGGAATCTCACAATTAAACATATTTCATTGTACATATTTTTCTACTCAGTTGAACATATTTTGCTCTCCTTAAATGTCCTTCGAACCGATCGATGGTTCGTATCCCAGCGATGACTGGTAGATACAAATTTCGCACATTGCTCTCACCAACCACAGTGCTGACGTAAAAGTGGTAGACGGATCATGAATTAGTCCCTTGCTGTCATTAACAGTGTGAGGTTTTCGTGGTTTTTCTATCCATGCAACGCAAATGCGGGTTAGTTCCCTCAAAAGGTCCTCCATGAAGACAATTTCTCCCAATACTTGATCCAGGACTTCCCTTGTCTTCTGGATTGGGTTCAAATTACAAGATTACAAAGTTGAACATTGGTAGTCGTAAGCCCAAAATTATGTCGGACACAGTGACGGCTATAAAATAAAATATAAAATAAAACCATTTAGAAACTACGTAACTAAATTGGATAAGTATAGGTCATACCTTTCCTAATCGAATTTTAATAAACGCTGGCTTTGACATTCAAATAGATTTTAATTCATATCCAAATAGCACGGTTTTTGTTTGCAACAGTCTTCATTCAATTTCTGATGTTGACCATAATTGTTCAGTCAAAAATGCCAAGTTTTGGTTTTATCCAACCACCCGGTTTTGCCCAGCTTTATAAAAAAAAAATCCCGATCCATCGATGTTTATCGATATTTTTTAAATGCTTACCGTAATAATATAATTTTCTTATGAGCAGAACCACCTGTTAAATTATTTACACGAAATTAAAGAATAATTTATTTTTTGATTTTTATGTCATTTAATTAACGAGTGATTTTTCCCCATCATGAAGTATAAAAACTTTCATAAAATAACCCCCTGAATGTAAGGGATATTTCATTTATATGATTACTTTTTATGTTGATACTCAAATGTTTTTAACATGTAGTTTATCATATATTATTTCGACTTTTATTCTGTAATTTGGAGTGCATGGAATTAGCACTAAAAACTTTACTTAATGTAATTTCTTTATTCTACTGTCCTATGATATCTTTGATACTTAAAAATGGTTTTCATCTTTAAACATAAAAGCTTGCATAAAATAATCCATGGAATGATAGAGGTATTTGTTTTATTTGATTACTGAATCAAGCATTTTTACATGTATTTTATCAAATATAATTTTGATTTTAAAACTGTAATTTGAAGCACATGGAATTAGTGCTTAAAATTTTGCTAGATACAGTTTCTTTACTTTAAATGTCTGACGAACGAAGAATGAAGCCTCCCAACAAACTGGTTGAAAGCAAAAATCATTCCAATTTTAAAACCGGGTAAGTCACCCGAAGATATAGAATCATACCGATCAATCTCTCTGACTTCCGTCACGGTGCAAACTTTTGAAAGAATGATAAATGCAAGATTAAGGTTTTATCTGGAGTCAAATGATATCCTAGCAGAAGAACAGTCGGGTTTCAGAAACAACATGTCAACCGCCAACTCAATTATGAAGTTGATTCACAAAATTAAATCCGGTTTCAGTTCAAAGAAAAGTTCCTTGGCAGTATTTGTTGATTTTCAAGGAGCTTACGACACAATTTGGCGAAGCAAACTTCTAACGAAACTTCAAACTTGTGGAATTTGCAAACAAATGTTTAAATGGTACAGAAGGTTCTTATCCCAAAGATGGGCAAAAACAAGAGGGAACGAACAGGAATCTACCTACAAACAGAGCAAAGTCGGTCTACCACAAGGAGCAGTAAGCAGCTGCACCCTATTTAACATCTACATCAACGATTTGGTAGACAAGCTAGCAAGCTTAGAAGGTATTAACGTTTGTATGTTCTCAGATGATGTTGTCATTTGGACGGAAGCAGAAAACTCCCAAGCATATGAAGATCAAAGGAATAATCTTGAAGGTGTTATGAATAAAGCTCTTGAGGTCTTTCAGTCTTGGTCCAAAGAGAATAACATGATTATCAACAAAAATAAAACCGTTTACCAATTCTACTCTCTAAGGCGTGTTAATCCAGACTTTGATTTGAAAATAGATGATAGTAAGCTTCAAAAAGCAGCATTACCACATATCTAGGTGTAGTACTGGATAACAAGTTAAGCTTTACCAATCATATCAATACTGTTATAGACAAAGTAGAAAAGAGAACCTCAATTCTGAAAAGACTAGCCGATGGCAAATGGGGAAGCTCACAACACACTCTAAATAAAACCTATAACACCTATATCAAACCAATTATCAAATACGGAAGTGAAGTGTTAATTTTTAGCGCATAAGGAAAGCTCGTCTCTTTGGAAAGAGCCCAAAACAATGCTCTCCGAATCATTACGGGAGCAGTGAAGACAACCCCAATTAATGCCCTACAGTACTATATTTCTAATCCACCAATTACCACTGAAATTAAAAAACAAGCAGTTGGCACTTATGTTAAAATGAAAGCCTCCCATAGAGCGCAATGGATGAATGAATGTAAACCAAGTTCCATGAAGACCCAAATTTCTCCTCTAGAGGTATGTGAAAAATTACTGCATGATTTCCAAGAAGATGAGCCAATTATCTGTAACAAGAACGTCACAAACCCTCTCAAATGTATAGATGTCAGGCACCAACTAGATATCAATGATTTGGGTAAGAAAAACATACCTGGCACAGTGCTAAAAACAAATGCATTATGCATGCTACAGGAGCAATACCCTGAACCAGAATGAACGAGAGTGTACACTGACGGCTCAAGAATACAAGACAGCACCGGAGCAGGAGTACACAGTAAGCTCTTTTCTCACATCGCCCCTGTGGGATACTATATGTCAAATTTTGATGCAGAGATCTTTGCTATTTCGATAGCCCTGGAAAACCTTAAGAATAAGATCAGTTACTTCACTAAAGCAGTAATCCTTGTCGACTCTAAGGCAGCTATCCAGGCAGTTGCCATAAACCATGATTCAGATACTCAGACTATTTCAGAAATTAGAGATAATTTGATTTTTCTCGAGAATGCCAGCAAAATTATTATGTTCCAGTGGATCCCTTCGCATGTGGGAATCAATGGCAATGGAAAGGCAGATCAACTAGCCAAGAAAGGGACACTCGAACCACAATGTAATAAACCGATCCCACCAGACTCCCTTAAAAAACAATTTTCCGAGAAACTTATGACCGACCTAAAGCTCAACCAAGCAGTAAAATCCTATGGAAAACCCTGGGCTAACATCTAAAACAGTTGGAGGAAATTTTGTCACAGTCCTCGTAAGAAGGCTGTGGCAAACTTCAGACTCTCAACAGGGCATGACTGCTTGGCAGAGCACCTCAACAGAATAGGTATCCTTCCATCTAGTGAGTGCCAAATCTGCAATTCGGGAACCATGAACTCTGACCACTTGCTTGTATGCCCTTTACTGGATAAACAATCCCAAGAGCGGAGTGATCTCTGTAAACTTTACTGGGCCAGAGATCACATGAACTCTCTGTAAAGACTACTCCTCATTCTTCACTGTATATATATTTTTTTTTCTTACTTTAATTTTTTCTATGTGTTCTTTTTGTATTAATATGTGTTTGTCATGTGTTTTCTTTGTTTGTTATTGTAATTTTGATCATTTTTACTCCTTGTTTATGTCCACTTAAAGTTGAACATTGTATATGGATTAATATTCCAATAAAGCCATATGTCACAACATGTAGTTTATCAAATGTTATTTCGATTTTAAAACTATAACACAGAGTACATGGAATTAGTTATGGAAGCCTTCGCAGTTCTTTTTTCTTTAATTTTTATATCATAATATATATTTAACGTTTAAAAATAGTTTCTACTGTTTTTCATTTAGTACAAACCCTTTCATAAAATAACCCCAAGATTGAAAAGAAAATTCCTTTTACTTGACCAAATATTTTTAGCATGTAGTTCATCAAATATTACACATTTTAAAAAAAAATTAATCTTAGAATAAAATGTACAAAAAACATTTTTAAGCATCAAAGAATATTTTAAGGGATTACTTATTTTATAAAAATGAATTAGCAAAAGACAACTTTGCCGAAAGAAAGTTTTAAAAGCTATTTATTTTTAATTCAATTACTTGATCCCTTTTTTGTAGAAAATTAAATTATGCAGGAAAAAAAAATTAAAATTGCATAAAAACAAAGTATTTTTCATCAAACTTTTTAAGCAGGATCTAAAATATTGAAAGCATTCTTTAAATGAATCCGTGCAAACTTTACATAGGGTATTAACGAGCAATAATTTAATAAATTCGTTGAAGATTAAAAGTGTTATTTCGTTATCTTATCAAAAACTCTTTGCTTAAAGGGATTATATTCTTTACGAAAGAAAAAAAAATATTTAATCTGTTTTAAAGTAATATTTTATTTTAATATTTTTTTGTTAAAAAACTCATAAATTTTAGTTATCAGATTTATAAAGTTAATTGCAAATATATAAAATGGAGTAATTTATCTTTGACTTAAACTCTAAATATTAATTTTTTATGCTTATAGAAAGACTGTATTAAGTATTAAATAATAAAAAAAGTCAATCAAGTTTTGTATGGATTTATAAATTGATAACATATAGTTTTAACTACGAAATAATATATAAAAACGTAATATAATTAAGAAAAATAGTAAATAAAATAAGTAAAATAATTAAGTAAAATAATTAATAAAATGAATAAGCAAAATAATTAAGAAAAAATAATTAAAATAAAGTGAAATAATTACGTAAAATAATTAGTAAAATGAATAAGTAAAATAATTTAGAATAAAGTGAAATAGTAAGTACAATAACTGAGTAACATAATTAAGTAAATCAATTAAGAAAAATAATAACTAAGAAAAAATGTTTGCAATACGTTTTTACAGTCATTTTTACACTGAACAACTTTTTTATTTTTATTTCAGTAATGCATTTCTATAATAAAATATAAGGTTATAAAATTTCAAAATTTATATATATATATATTTTTAGTACCACTTGCCATTGGTTGACAATGAATATGCTAATTGTTTTGCCTTAAGAATCAGCGAACACCAAAATTAGTTGCCACTAATTTTGGTGCTGAGATATACAAACATTTTTACAGTGTGAGGTTAATATACTCACCAATAAAAATATGTTCATTGAATGTTGTACATTAAATAAAAGTAAGAATGTATCAAAAAATCTTTGTTGCATATCTGCATTTACTTTTATAATTTTTAAGGCATAATTTTAAAAGAATTTCGTAAATACGCATATTTTGTTTTCTTTTACTACATAGATAACAAAAAAAAACTTATTTCTATTAGTACCATTGTCTACTAAATAATTTTTTACATAATATTTTTTGGATATCTTTGTTTTGGAAATAAATTACATATGATCCTAAAACAAAATTCACAATAGGTATTTTTTTATCAAACTATTCTATCGAATACACAAAAAATAGGAAATATATTTTTCAAGAACTATGCTTAATGCATCTTTTCACTTTAAAGCAAGATATGAAACAGTATAAAAATACAGTGAGAGCCTTATAAATATATATTGATATAGATAAGCTTATAAATATAAATGAGAGTATACATGTTGTGTCCTCGTATATGAAAGAAGTGTCGATTTTGTTGCAAAATTAAGTTTATTTTAGTCATATTTTAATATTATAAGTGTCATTATTTTCAACAAAAAAAATAAAAACACAATAAAAAATATCCGGATGTTAGGAAGTTCGTATATCTTCGTATTTGTCCTCATATTATACTTTTTTCACTTTCACTTACTTTGGCTACATGTAAAAACTTCTTTTTTTGCAATGTTATTGTACCTCTAATATTGTTATAATATGATACAATTTAAAATCGTTTACGGGATTTTGCAATCATTTATTACAGATTTTGTAAAAAATTAGTAATAATGTCTCTCATTTGATTAGTAAAAATATGCATTATAGAACATATAAATATCTATTTTTGCTGAGAAATGAACGATAGTAATAATTTTGGATAGAAAGAAATTATATTTTAAAATTTTTTTGCATTATTGGTAATTAACTATAACATTAGAAACATTTTAGTACTTAAGATATTAAGATGTTCAAGCAAATAAATACTAAAGTTTACACACTGTAGCCATCCCCCCAAAAAAGAATATTCTCAAAAATAGTCTGCCTCTCCATTATGATAAAAAGAAACGTTAATTTATCACATTACACAATGACAATAAACCTTTTTCAATTTATAGAGATCCATGAATATTTAAAAAAAAATAAATGAATTTAAATTAATGAACATTGCTTCCTTATTAATTATTAAACTAGTGAGAAAGAAAATATTATCCAATCTGAAATATTTAAAAGCTACGTGGAAAACTTCAAAAGTAACTACAAACTTTCTTTTTTATTATGCAACTGATAAGATAGCTGTTGAGTATTAGTTTCTGGCAAAATTCCAGTTATCTGTTTTAAATGTATTTTAAAACTATTTTCAGATTCAGAAAAGACAATCATTATCAGATTGCGATAACTAAGTGATTATTATCTAGTAAGGACTATTTATAATCCTTTTTTTAAAAATAATTCTCAGTTAATGAGCAAAGATTAATATTACATATAAGATTATGACTGTTACAAAAAGTAAAAATTTTCTTTTCACTCGCTTGCACTAACGAATTCAGACAAATTAAACAAGATGGGAAGAATTGAAAATAATTAAAAATTGTTTAAATTTCCATTTGTCAAAATTGTTGCGACATCAATGGACAGTTAGTTTAAATAATTGTTTTAAAACGGCTGGCAACTCTTGTAATTGTAATATTCTAATTCTGGCTGGTTGCTGCGCAACCAGACGACTTTTTCTTGTTACTAATGTTTTTTGTTTATCGTCTGTATGTCAGTGGAAATAAAAGAATAAGATTGCTGTAAAAGCTATAATTATGGTGCCGAAATACTCAAGCTTTCTACGAATCAGGATTTGAGAAAAAAGACATCTATAGTGACAATGTTGACACTTTCCACGCTGAAACTAGGGAGCTAATGCTTCTATGGAACACTCTTACATCTACTAAAGTGCAGCAGTTTTACGCTAATAATGGCATAATTTGAAAGTTCATCGTACCCAGAGCGGCTTGGTGGGGAGGTTGGTAGGAGTGCCTAATCGGATTAGTGAAAAATTGTCATTGTAAATCTCATGGTCTGGCACTATTAGACGAAGAAAATCTATCCACTGTACTTGTAGGGATAGAAGCCGCTCTTAACAGCAGACCCCTTGTATATGAAGAGGGAGATAAAGACAACAACGAAGCATTGACACCGGCACATTTTCTAACGGGTAGAAAATTAACAGCTATACCCACAAATCTGAATAACAATCCTAAACTTACGAAACTCTACAGACAACAATAAGACGTGTTGGATATATTTTGGAAAAGATGGTCCAAAGAATATCTGCTGCAACTGCGCTCATATCACCACGTTCGCAATATTCATAACTCCTTCAACATCCGTGCCGGAGATCTTGTGCTACTACAAGAGAACGTCAGACCCAGACATATGCAGAAGAAGGCCCGAATCACCAATCTAATTAAGGGACGTGATGGGAAAATTCAAAGATGCATGTTAAGAGTGGATGGAAAGACTATAACATGACCTATACAGCTGGTCATTCCTCTTGAGGTTGACCAGGGAGGGGAGAATGTTGCGACATCAATGGACAGTTAGTTTAAATAATTGTTTTAACACGGCTGGCAACTTTTGTAATTGGGTATAATATGAAAAAAAAACAACTACTTCCACTTACTAGGAATAACATTTACCTTTTAGTTTAATTAATGAACTGTGTTTTAAATATGTTTACTAAATTCATAAACTTATGTAAAACAACAAAATAAATTATTTTCAAAGGAACTAGACTAATACAATTCCAACCAGGCGAGTAACGACTTATAACAAGACACTTCGTTTGATGCTTACTTGTTGCAAGAAATCAGGTTCGCAGAAAATGCTGTTTACTAGTTAAATTTAGTAGGAATAACACGATCTGTGACGTAGGCTATAGTATACCCAATTGTAATATCCTAACTCTGGCTGGTTGCTAGGCAACCAGACGACTTTTTCTTTCTATTATTGTTCTTTGTTTATCGTCTGTATGTCAGTGGAAATAAAAGAATAAGATCGCTGTCGAAGCATTGAAGAGACGTCCACCCTCTAGAATTTTTAGCTTCAGTTAAAGATTTGGGGATGCC